CTTGCCTTAATAAAACCTCAAATGCCAGCTGGTAAATAGAGTGTTGGAATAGAAAAGCATAATTTTTCATCCTAAGGTAAAGGTTAGGTCAGGCAAGAATTCTGAGTATGCTAAGCCTAGGCAGATATTTTTATGTAGAGAAATTACGTTGTCTCCAGAGGTCTCTTCATAGATGCTTACACGTTACAAGAGGATAAAACAGTAACTAGTCAGAGTGCATCTGAGCCAGGTGACCAGATGAGCTTCCCCAGTGAGCGCGTGCAGGCACCGTGTATACTCAGGTGTGCTAACTCAGGAGTGAGCGTGCATGCCCTGCCCTTGTTGTCAGTTCCCACTCATTAGCACAGGACCCTGTCCAGTGCAGGGTTTCCAGGGAGCAGCTGGTGACTTTGAATCACCCAGCCGACCTTGCTGTCCAGTGCTTACCCCATATGCCACACCAGGAGACCTGCTGTCAGTCAGGAGGAAACCCCAGGTAAGTCCCCAAAAAGACCAAGGCTGTGTCAACGTTCCAGACTAAAGGAGACATGACCGCTAGTGTGCGGTACTGGGTCCCAGACGAGAGGGAACACTAGAGAGGGTCCCGGTTAGGTCTGCTGACAGAACTGGACTGTGGGTGGTGATTAGATCCAACTGAAGTGTTATCTGGGTGAACGGGACTCTGGCTGCATAAAAGAGCGTTGTTGTTCTTGGGAGACACTGATCAAAGGAGCTTAGAGTTAAAGGGCCAAGGTATACGAAATGTGCTCTTAAATCCTATGTGACACGGTATGTAGTACACAGAGAACGAAAAGTACACAGAGCTGACGGGTAGCAGTAAGTGAATCTAAATAGAAGGAGCCTATATACGGAGCTCTGGTAGTGTAGTGGTTACGAATCGAGCTGTGAACCTTAAGGTCAGTAGTTTGAAACAACCAGCTGTTCCCCGGGAGAAAGATGAGGCTTTCTGCTCCCATATAGATTTACAGCCTCAGAAACCCTGTTACAGGGTCACTATGAGTCGGAACCAACTCCACGGCACATACCAACAACAACATATGGGTGTTGTTTCTGCTTGCCTTATCCTTACAACTTGTAAGTATAAAATTATTTACAATTAAAAGGTCTTTAAAAATGAGATTCAAATAAGCACACAGAGATGTTTCACATCATTAGTCATTAAGGAAATGCAAATTTAAAACCGTAATGAGATACTGTTGTTTTTGAGTGCCATCGAGTCGGTTCCAACTCATAGCTACCCTGTATAGGGTTTCTGAGGCTTTAAATCTTCGCGGGATCAGAAAGCCTCAGCATTCTCCCACAGAGTAGCTGGCAGGCTCGAACCATGGACCTTGTGGTGCACAGTCCAGTACTTACCGTATGGAGCCACTGTGCATCCTATTAGAATACGTCCATTCCCTCTCCACCCCTACCCCAAACAAAAGCAAAAAGCACAGATGGTACCAAGTGTTGGTGATGAGAGGTGGTTCACTGGCACTCCGATGCCTTGTGAGACCACCAGGGGGTGCACGGTGGTAGAGATGCTTGGGAAGCACCGTGACAGAGTCTTACAGAGCTCAGTATGCACTCTCGTAGATATCTACAGAGGAGACCTGTGTGTAAACTTGACAGTGTCTTACAGAGCTGAGTATGCACTTACCACATGACTCCTCATAGGTATCTACCCAGGAGAAGGAAGGCACAGGTCCACACAGAGGTCTGTGTGTAAACTTGCTTTGTATAGCCATCGATCTGGAAACACAGCCATGTCTGTCGGTGGCTGGAAGGTGGACAGATTATGGGAGCCCCGAACCCTGGAGCACTGCTCGGGAGCAGGGGGCGCCCTCCTGACTCGTGCGCACATTGGCCTGACTGTTAGAGAAGCAGACACGCCAAGGGCTGCAGGCTGTGTGCTTCCACTTGCATGGTATTCTGGGAAAGGCAAAACCAGGCAGACATAAGTCAGCATCAGAGTCTAGGCATGGACCAAGAGAGGGGCAGGGGGATGAAAATAACTGACAACTTGATTGTCATAGGGATTGCATGACTAGATGTGTTTGTCAACATTCACAGATGTAGACACCTAAGAGAGTGTATTTTACTATATGCACATTGTCTCCTCATAAATCTGAGTTTTAGAAAAGTAGCAAAATGTTAAAAACCCAAAATAAGCATTACATAATCAAGCAATTCTATCAAAGATGTTAATTTTAGATGTGTGTTTCTTAAAACAAAACCTTAGAACTCCATGAAAGCATATATCCCTGTTTCTTCTGGGTGCTACACTTGCATTGGGGTGTGGTGGAAGAGAAACTATCCCTACAAGGCCATGTGTTCGCTGATATTTTTGAAGGTCAGACCACCCAGTTGTTTTATTTCAAGAAAATAGTTAAAGGTAGATAACAGTAGAGTCACAAATTAAACCTGTTCATAGAACATGAGAGAAATGTGGAGCAAAAAGAAACTTCCCAGGTAAAAGACTCTTGAGGCATGGAGTCGTAAAAGTAAAAATTAAAACAACCACCCGAAATACCCAGTGAGTTGAGTTTGGGAACCAGAAAGGGGCGGGAGGCTGCTCTAAAAGAGGGCAGCAGAGAGGAGAGGAGGGCTGTGTGCGGGGGCAGCTTTAGAATGCCCTTGTTTACAAGAACTGGTATTGTTGGCACTGTTATTAATATTGCCCTTTTTGCTGTTGGACTCCTCCCTAGAAACTGGGCATTAAGTAAACATTTATTAAAATTTGAGGTCTGTACAAAGACTGACTGAGTCCAGGGCAGGGAGCCCCCAGCTGAAGGGCAGGTCACTGCGTGTACAGAGGGGATAGTGAGAATCATCTCTCCTGCTTTATGCCCTTGGTATCCTCAGCCTGGCTCATGTGCCCTAGTCTGATCCTTGAAATTCTGGGTTTGCCTCCTGAGCTCTGAAAGGCCCAAGAGCAACAATAAGAATCTCTAGGGATGACTTTGGGTCCACCCAACCACAGCATCCAATACAGGGAGGCTGGGCTTTCAGATTGGCATGCAGACAACTCTGCCACTTGGTGCCATGACCTCAGATCCTCATGTAGCTTCCCAGGGCGCATGATGTATTATACAGGGGCCTGAACTCTAGTACGGCTCTGGGGTAAGCACTGAGCTACCAACTGCAAGCTTGGTCATTCAAAACCATCAGCCGCTTTGCAGAAGAAAGATGAGGCTATCTGCTCCCATAAAGATGAAAACCTTGTGTAGTGTCGCTATGAGTTACGATGGACTTGATGGCAGTAAAGTTTGGTTTTTTAATTTTGTGATTATTAGGAGCCCTGGGGGCACTGTGGGTGAAGTGTGCTGGTAACTCAAAGGAAAGAAGTTCAAACCTACCAGCCACTGCACAAGAGAGGGTGTGGCAGTTTGCTTCTGTAGAGATTTACAGCCTTGAAAACCCTGGGCCGGTTCTGTACCATCCTGCAGGGGCATTGAGTGGGAATTGTGTTGGGCTTTTTGTATTATCAATAGACATTATGTGGAGCTAATTACGTGAATAGTAATTATGGGGAAGGTGGAAGTAAAATAAATGTAAAGAGTTTCTGCTCTTTGAAGATTTCCTGTCTGTCGGCGCTCAGAAATCTCACTCTGAATTATGAAAGCAGAAGGCGATTCCCAAAGGCTTGCCGCTCAGTAGAGGGACCTTGTTGTTGTCTACACGGGGGCTCTGAGGGCCATGTGTCCACACTCTTTAAGCACATGGTATAGTCAGTGACCAACTAACTTAGAAAATACCTGGAAATGGACTTTTTAGCTGCAGCAGTGGCAGGTGAGAAGAAATTCCACACATGGAATTTATTTGATGAAGCTGGCATTCCTGGAAGAATGGGCCAGCTCATCCCTTTCTCCTTGTGTCTACCTCCTGGGAGCCAGAAGTTGAGGCATGTTTGTTCTGGTCATTTGCTGAGATGAATTTCATGATTGCAGCTCTTTGTCCTGCGGCCCAACTTTGACTGCGACCTCCTAAACCCCTCAATCCCGCTCTCTTCATTGGTTGAAGTCATTTCTCAGGGACTAACATGAGCTTTGATTTTCAGCCTACGTCATCCCTAAGGGGATTGGAAAGGAGTAAGAAAGACTCTTTTTGAAGTGGCTTGTTGATTCCCTGGCAGCCAAAGCAGATGTTGCTGAGGGTGAGGGAGTCTCAGCATCCTCACCACTGTTGTGAAGCCGGTGTGCACTGTGGGGTAAATGTCAATGTTGCCAGAAAACATGAGACAGCAGAAGCTCCTGAGGTCTCCCTTCACAGATTGCCCCCATCAGCATAGCTCTTGTGGTCCTATCACAAAGTGAGAAAGGAGACTTAGCCCCAAAGCAGGCTGGGACCTTAGTGTGGGCAGGATGGGGTAGGGAAGACTGGTACCAGCCTTGCAGTGTGGCTCCTGGTGGTAGACAAGCTGCTCAAGTAGCACACTTGGGCAAGGAGCCAGCAGGCCAGGAGTAAGGCCAGGACACCTGGCCAGTTTGGCCCTAGGGAGATCCGGTCTGAGGTGTTAACCCCAGGAGATGCTGTTGTGCTCCAGGCTAAGCCTTGCTCTAAGCAGGTCTGCCCCCTCCCAGCAGGTTCCAAATCACCACACTGAGTCTTAGTTCTTAGAAGCAAGAAAGAGGTAATTCCGAGAGAAGGAGGTGGTTGGCAGGCTGACCCGTGCGGGGCTGTGCTGTGGGCAGGCTTCCCAGGGCTCTGCTGGCACAGAATCAGGTGTCAGAGGTGAAAGGTGTGTCAGGGTAGGCAGCCTGATCCTGCTTTTATGAAATGTGCTTTCTTGGTCCGAAGTGGTTCAGAGAGTGGCTGGTGTGGAGTGAACCGGTGACCTGAGGTGCTGGCAATAGGAAGTGGGGTGCTGACACATGCTGGTGGAGGCCACCCTCCTCTGTAGAGTTGCACGTCCCGTGGGTGCTGGGTGTGCGCAGGCCCGGCTCGCCTACCCACCCGGGGGTCCCTGTCCCATGCTGGCTGGCACTCACGCTGCCTCGTCTCCTGTGCTCTGGCTCTAGGTGAACCTGAACAAGGTGGGCGAGTACTGGTGGAGCGCCATCCTGGAGGGTGAGGAGCACATTGACATTGACCAGATCAACAAGGAGCGCTCCATGGCTACCGTGGACGACGATGAGCATGCCGTGCTGGACAGGCTGACCTTCGACTACCATCAGAAGCTGCAGGGCAAACCGCAGAGCCACGAGCTGGTAGGAGCTCAGCCTGGGCCCAGGAGCCGGCCACTGATGGAGCAGCAGGGTCTCCTCTCCTCTAGGCTGAGGGCTGGCCTTTCTGACCTTCTCCCCGAAGCACAGCTTGGGCGGTCTCTAGTGCCCACGACCCAGGCAGTCATCTAGCCACCTCACCACCTCACCCCCCCACCCCTCCTTTCATAGTCTCAAGCTGGCAGGGCCAGGAGGCGTACCAACGGAGGGCTGCTGCTTCAAACCAAGGCCTTATATGAGCTTCCTACTGACCCTGAGCAGCCACAGTTATCCCAAGAACCCTGTGGCCCCTGTGACCTTTAGGCTGTTTCTGCAGGGGCCCTGTGGGTCAGTTAGGGGCACTGATGAAGGTCAGTGGCCACAGTGCGTTTGCTCTTTCACACCAGGCCAGAGCAGCGGTGTTGGTGGGAGGAAGTCTCTGGGGAAAGAAGGCCTGCACCCGCTGCCATTCCACACAGCTGTGCACTGCAGATGGCCGGTGGGATACAGGGCGACTCCACATGGCTGTGGCTCTCTTCTTTCTTTGTAGCACAGTCAGCGCCTCTACCCCACTCAAGGCCTCCACAACACGGGGACGGTGAGAAATGCAGGACTGAGTTGGGGTGAAGAACTTGGATTCCTGGGGACTTTAGGCCATTTTTGAGTTTTCATTCCTTGTACAGTGAGCCCCCAGACCCCCTAAGAAAGCCATCAGATTCCTGTGTTCTGCGGTTTGTTTTGGAAGTGCTCAACTTTACAGGTATTTAGGTTATACGGCCAGCGTCTCAGCCCCAGGGAGTCCACCAGGCAGTGACCGCAAACTCATCCCCCTTTTGTGGTCACACACAGCTTAACTGCTGGCCAGCACAGTCCGCTGTATAGGACCCTGGGGCCTGAGGAGAGGGCTTCGAGCCCCCACCCCACCCCCCCCACACACATCAGACCACTGCTTACATGGCATGGATGTTGTAAGCATTTCCTACTGGTCACTTGCTGTATAAACCTGTCCTAAATGCTGTCACAAACTCCTCATAGCACCCCGAGAAGAGGAGGTGGGGTGGGCATTGTTTTGCCTTTTCAACCTTTTATTGTGAATTGACTGAAGGTTTACAGAGCAGACCATCCGTTTTACATTCAACATGTCCTATACTTTGCTTCATGACATGGTTGCCCTGTCACTCATCATACATGTGTCTGCCTTCTAGCCTGTGAACTCTGCCCCGCCCCCCCAAGCCTCCATAACCATCATAGATTGTTTCTTTTACCAAGAAAACCGGTTTTTTTTTGTTTTGTTTTTTTACTTTTTACAACATTGGTCTTACACAATTTCTATCCTTTTGTAATTAGCTAATTTCACTCAGCATGATTTCCTCCAGGTTCAGCCATGTTGTGAGGTGTTTGAAGATTCATCATTATTCTCCAACATTTTGAAGTATTACATTGTGTGTCTGTACAAAGTTTGTTTAACCATTCTTCTGTTGAAGGACATTTAAGCTGTCTTTTTGATGGGTCTCTTGTAGACAGTTTTTTGAAGGATCCCATTTTCTTATCCAGTCTGCTTTCTCTGTCTCTTGACTGGTGCGTTTAATTTGTTTACACCCAGTGTAAGTATCAATAGGTCTGGATTGATTGAAATGTATGTACCAGGGTTGTATTCTTTCACCACACTTACTCAGTCTGTTTGCTGAGATAATAATCCGAGAAGCTGGTTTATATAAAGAACGTGGCATCAGAATTGGAGGAAGACTCATTAACAACCTGCAATATGCAGATGATACAACCTTGCTTGCTGAAAGCGAAGAGGACTTAAAATACTTACTGAGGAAGATCAAAGACCACAGACTTCAATATGGGTTTCACCTCAGTGTATAGAAAACAAAATCCTCACCACTGGACCAATAAATATTATCAACATAAATAGAAAAAAGATTGGAGATGTCAAAGAGTTCATTTTGCTTGGATCAACCATCAACACTCATGGAAGTAGAAGTCAAGAAGTTAAACAACAGTGCATTAGGCAAATCTGCTACACAAAACCTCTTTAAAGTGTTGAAGAGCAAAGATAACAGTTTAAGGACTAAGGAGGGCCTGACCCAAGCCACAGTATTTTCAATAACCTCATATGCATGTGAAAGTTAGTGAATAAGGAAGACTGTAGAAGAACTGATACATTTGAATTATGGTGTTGGAGGAGAATATTAGAAGTACCATGCACTGCCAAAAGAACAAACTAAGCCATGTGGAAAGAAGTACTTCGAGAATGCTCCTTGGAAGTCAAGATGGCTAGATTTCGTCTCTCATACTTCAGACATTATCAGGAGAGACGAGTCACTGGAGAAGGACATCATTCTTGGTAAAGGGAGGCTTAGAGAAAAAGAGGAAGACCCCCAAGGAGATGGATTGACACAGTTGACAGCAGCAGTGAGCTCAAGCGTAGCAAAGATGATGAGACTGGTGCAAGATCGGGCAGTGTTTCGTTCTTTTGTGCATAAGGTCATCACTATGAGTTGATGTCTACTTGATGGCTGGCTCCTAACTACAAGAATCTATCAAATGGATCGATTGCTGTCATTTTTTCATGTGTTGTTTTCTGTGGTGCTGCTGGATTCTTCATTCCACGTAGTTTTCTATGCTGAGTTCATTTTATTGTGGGGTTTCTTGTCATTTTCAGTTCTGTTGTAATAATGTGTACTAAATCTTTCTGATTTTCTACCTTTTTTATTTTGATGTGTAGGTGTATTATTTTTCATTGAGGTTACCCTGTAATTTATTAATTTTTTCCCCCTGCTTTAAACAGTCTGTTTTTTCCTGAAATCTACTTGACTTCCTTGCCATTTGTAAGTTCTGTATCTACGCTATTCCCTTTTTTTGCTTTGTAGTTGACTTCATTATACATTGATATCTCTTTTTCCCTATTTTCAGTCTTGTAGGTTTGTTTTACTTTAAATACTTCTATATCTGGAGTTAATGCACTGGACTACATGGTTGGTTTGAATTGCAAGGTTGGTGGTAAGTTCACCGGCTGCTCCTTGGAAACCCTGTACGGGGTCTCTATGAGTCAGAACTGACTTGATGACACTTAACAGAAACAACATACCAGGATTGAGTTCTGGGTGGTGGTGTCATGTATGTTCATCTCAGATTTTTGTCTGCTGCTGTTGGTTCTCAGTCCAAAGAACACCCTTTCAGATTTATATAAAATTGGTCTGGTCATTACAAATGCCTTTCATTTCTTTTTATCAGGAAGTGTCCTAAGTTTGCTGTCATATTTGAGGGAGAGCTTTACTGGGTGTACAATTCTTGGATGACAGTTTTCTTTTCTTTCATAGTTTGTATATGTCATCCTGTTGCCTTCTTGCCTGGATGGCTTCTGCTGCGAAGTCAGAGCTTAATTAGTTGTATCAGTTCTCCTTCGTAGGTAACTTCTTGTTTTTCCCGAGCTGCTCTCAGGATTCTTTCCTTGTCTTTGATTTTGCAAAGTTTAATTATGATATGTCTCGGTGATTTTCTTTTGGGGTTGTTTCAGCTTCATGTTCTTTCGTGCTGTTTGGGAGCTTTCTCCCAACCACTCTTCAGCAGTTAACCTCTGTGCTGTTCATTGTTTCTTCCTGTTCTAGAATTCCAGTCACCCCAAAGTTGTTACTCTTCCTGCTTTCCCACGCAACTCTTAGGCTTTCTTTGGATTTTTTCATTTATTTTTCCTGTTCTTCTTCTAGCATACTAGTATTGAGAGTTTTATTTTCAAGTCCACTAATTCGGGTTTCCATTGCCTCAAATCTTTTCCTTTGCCCTTTAAATATATTGCCATTTCTGAGATCTTAGTGTTAATCTCCTTGATTTCTAATTACAGATTTCATATTGTTTTTAAAATCTGCATTCATTTTGTGTTTGTTCTCCTGAATTCTTCTGAAGTCTTTTCTGTGTTCTCCTTGCTCTCTGCGATCTTTCTGTCAATCTGTTAAAGGTACCAAAATATTGTTCTTTTGAGGTTTGTTTTTCAGTTCGTTCCATTACCTTCTTTCCCTCAGAAATGTTTTCTGTTTCTATATCTTGGTCATTTGTTTGGGCCATTCTCTCTTGTTTGACCTGGAGGGGAGAAATCTCTGGGGGGCTTCTGCGATTGAAGAAGCTTACAAGATGGATGTGGGAGGGATGTGACAACAGAGTTCTTGGCCCTAAGCAGAGTTCCTATTGGCCTCGGTGTTAAAAGCTATGTTTAGGGCACTCAATCTGGAAGCAGTTTGTGGGGGCTCTTGATGAAACTGGTTTTAGTGTCTGTTAGGACCACAGGGCAGCTGGGGGCAGGGTGATGGATTAAATGCTGGCCTGGTGGCGCTGTGGGTTTTGTAGGTCTGGAGTCGAGCCCACCTGAACCAGGCACCAAAGCAGCAGACCAAAGCGGTGCAGCCGGCCCCTACCTCATACTGTTGTGACTCCCAACTACGTGGCTGTGCACTGGGGGAGGATGAGGGCAGGAGCTGGCCACACCGCTGGTCATCAGGGGAGCACGGAAAAAAGAAAAAAAAAAAGAAATCCTCTGCCAGACCTCTGTCCACTGCTACAGTTGCTCACAAGATGGACAGGCTACAGGTGTCCACTTCCCGCTCTCGCCGTGCCTGCCTGGCCTCTCCTCCCAGAGAGCTCTGCACCCATCTCCCTGACCTGTCGCCTGAAGCTCAGGTGTCCGAATTGTCTTCTGTCTGTTTTATTGGGCCTCTTGCTTCTTTGCTGTAGAGGGTCCGTGCAGCATGTCTGCCTACTCCGCCATCTTGCTGGAAGTCCTTGTTGTGTTTTGCTTTAACAGAAACTGGGGCCACGTAATATGATCAGAGTCCCAGCACTAATAAGCCACAGGGGGTCTGATATGCACTGGGATCTGATACAGTCCTTCTGACGTCACCTACCCTGCACTGGAACTGTAAGGTCAGTGGTTCAGACTCACCAGCCGCTCCTTGGAAACGCTATACGACAGAGTCACTGTGAGTCAGAATCGACTCAACGGCACTTAACAGCAGCAACATCCTGCTCCAGACCTGGCACAGATCAGTGTCTTTGTATGAGAATGTTCCTGTGGGTTCACCAGTGTGGACATGCAGAACTGGAGACTCAGTCTGGTGTTTGCTCTTTGGGAAGGCTGAAGTATGCCCACTTCGCCTGTTCCAGTGTCCCAGTGACACCCTGACCTCCAGGATGCAGCGTCTTTGGGATCATGTTGACAACAGGCCTACTGGATAAGTTGCCCTTGTCTGTGACTGTCAAAACCAAAGGCCGGTTTTTGGACACTCAATGTCTGAGAATTTCCTTGTTGTCCTCACCGCAGCTAGTGGAGGGGCAGCAGCATTCCATCATGCACATGAGGAAACCAGCTCACCGTGAGGTGATGGCACCTGGCAGTGTCTCCAAAGGTCATGCTTTGTCCACAGAAGCTGATCTTTGAGAGAAAGAATTCCTTGTAGGCAGATTGTAGGCAGTTTTTACTACACACGTAGTATTAGCACAGATGCTTGATTGTATTAGGATTAGAATGATGGTTTGAAAAGCTGCCTTTCCGAAATGCAGCTCCTCAGGTAGGTACCTCCCCTAGATGTACAGAGGGTACCTTCTGGAGGGAAACCCTAAAAGCGAATATTTTTATTAGCGATTTAAACTGTGACATTGGTAAGCTTTGTTAATACAGCAGTGAGGACCTGCACCCTCGAGTTCTGAGATCTGAGAGAACCTAGCCTGTTTTCACTAGAACACAGAAAACACACGGTCTGAATTTTTCATTTCAAAAATGTGTACGTTTTTACTGGTTGTTTTTGTCTCTGGGCCTTTCAAATTCCCTATGAGCAAGTCTCTTGCAGACAGACCATGAATTGACTTTTAAGAAAAAAAGACTTGTTAAACTTAGTCTGAGTGGACGAGCTGCACCTGCTCTTGAACTGCACTGATGGTGCCCTGTCCTAGGAGGTGGGCGCACAGACCGAGGGGACAGTATCGCCCCAGGTTGGGGCATCCGAGGAGCTCCATGTATCCCTGCCCTGCTGAGGCCCATAGCCTGACCTTCCTCTCCGCTCCACTCCGTTCCTTGCCCCCAGCCCTTTCCTCGTGCCTCAGTGGTCCCTCCACCCCTTGACCCGTCTCCTTCCTCCTCTCCTGAGGCTTCCTGCTCTTTGTCCTCTGGACTAACGGGAGAAGAGCAGTCAAAAGCATCTGGGGCTGTGGGAAAGACTGCGAGAGGCCAGTGTGGCCAGCACTAGCAGCTGCAGAGAGCTGTACCTGTGGCAGAAGCTTCAAAGCAGCAGACTGACAGTGTGTGCATTTGAGGGTCCTTGGTGGAAAGTGAATCTGGAGGATTCGCGGTGGATGTTAGTGAGAAGATAGGGGACGTACTGACAGTTAGGTGGAAGGACAGAAGCATGGGGCCACCACCTGGCTTTGTAGCTAAGGACAGTGGGCTAGGGTTAGCCATGCCCTTTCTTGGGAGGTGGAGAGAATGCTCCATTTGGGAGTTAAACTCTCAGTCTTAACTCTCCACACCTGTGGAGTGGCGGCATGAGTGTGAGGCTGGAGCTAGGGCTGGCGGGGGGCACACAGTCCAGTCATGGCTAGAAGGGGAACATGGGGGCCCTGCCTAGGAATGTTCAACAAGAGGGAGACTGCTGAGAGGCAGGTAACCTGGACCAGACACCAAGGTCTTCCAGTCGGTCAGACGAGGAGCATTTAGAGGAGACGGAGAGATGGTGTCAGAGGCATGGAAGAAATTCAAGGACTCAGGCCAGAGCTAAACCAGGGTGGTGGTTTGTCTGCAAGGACCATGGAACCGGCTCACCCCCCAGGGGCACTTTTCCACCTGCTGCCACACCCGCCCTTGTAGCATGGGGTGCTGGGAGCATATCTGGGAGGGCAGGGCATGTGTAGGACGTGTACCGGCCCTGGCCTCCCACCCACAGTGGGCAATGGGGAGCCAAGCCCAGGGTGGTGCCAAGACAGACTTCTTACTGCCTCTTCACCAGCCCTTGGTCACACGGATGCCAGCAAACTGGGGAGACTTGTCCATTCTCTGGCAGGGAGGTTCGTGTGGAAAGAAAACCAAACCCTAATCCCTGACCTCTGCCGTTACGGCTCCTAGGGATTGCTGCAGCGTCATGGGGCCACTGCTGGGAAAATGCTTGAGATGCTCTTTCCAAAGACATCACCGGTGTGAGTTGCTTGTATACCTTTGAGGGTAACGTTCACTAATCCTCGATACAGACTATCGCTTAGGTCGAAAGCAGGAAAAAAGAAAGCCCTTTTTTCAGAAAGCGGCCTTTTAGGGAAGAAGCTGTGCCTGTCTGGTGCTTAGAAAGACTGGCGTTCTGCGAGCCAGCAGCACTGTTAGCACCAGGAACTTTCCACACAACTTGGCCTTACGACAAGAGAAGTGTGCGATCTTCTGGCCATTCCACAGTCTCTCTGGGACAGGAGACGTCGTTGCCAAGTGGTGGCCCTGTGAGTGAGAGGTCATCCCAGCTGTCCAGCACCCTGCATTGGGACGTTTGTTCTGGGCATGGCCAGCACACTGGTGTGCACAGAGGAAGGGGGTGAAGAGACATAGCGCATTCAGGGCCAGTGAGCACAGGGAGGTCCCTGGGCCCAGCGCCTTTCCCACGTGTCCCTGGCCTTGATGTACAGCTGGTCCTCCTCCTGACTCTGGAGGCTGTGCAGTTGCAGATGGCCACACACTGGGAAGAACTAAGTCGTCACCAGCTCCGACGGTGTCTCCATGGATGCCAGCTGGGGTCACGATGGCCAGCCCCTTTTCTGTATCCTGGGGGCCCACTGGATGGTGTGCGTGCCTTGTGGGCCCACAGGGTAAGCATCTCAGGACTGCATTCCCAGAGCTGCCCCGGGGCCTTCCTCTCTGAGATGTCCCTTTGGACACTTGATCTTTTGCCCACATGGATGGTGGACAGAGATGCCTGGTAGGAAGGGGACAGGGGTCGAGCCCTAAGGAACAGCTAGCTGGCGCTTTGCTGGCTACAGGAGGGCGAGGGTTGGAGAGTCTTGTGTTGTGAAGAGTCTGGTGGGCATACACAGTACCTCCTCAGTCGTGGCTTGATCGTAGGAGGGTCCACTCCCGTGGGCTCCCCAGCCCAGCATCTCCCTCCTTGGACCCCTAAGAGAGTTAGCTACAAAGGAGAGAAAAGGCTGTGTGCCGGCTGGAGTTGTGCTCTGGGAGGGAGTTTGCACTGCCTGGGGGTCACATTTCATGTCTCTTGTCTCTTTTCTATTTGTAGAAAGTCCATGAGATGCTGAAGAAGGGATGGGATGCAGAGGGCTCCCCCTTCCGAGGCCAGAGATTCGACCCTGCTATGTTCAACATCTCCCCTGGGGCGGTGCAGTTTTAGTGGCTGGAGGCCCAGAGGCCCTCTCCAGCCCGTGGAAGATGGGAGCTGCACGCCCGCACCTCAGCGTCTGTCCACGACTCCTTGCATGCCAGGGACCTCCAGCTGCCCTCTCCCCAGGCCCTCCCCCAACTTTGCGCCTCCTCATGCTGTTCCATTGGCAGCCTTGGCTGTGTTGATGGGGCCTCAGCGTGGGCAGCCCAGCATGGCAAGGCCTCCCCCCTCCCCCTGTTGTTGCTGTTGTCTGACGCCTTTTGGCTGGGGTGGGCATCGTTTCTGGACACCGTGTGTACTTACAGGGGCGTTGAGGTGAAACTGGGAAGTCCGCAGGAGTGCAGTGCAGGGGGTTCCTGTGAGCCCTGCATGTGGCCTGCTGCCCATCTCGGGACCGCCTGGGCACGGCAGGAACCGCGGTCCTGCCACCTGCCTTTGTCTCTGTCACCTTTATCAGCTCTCGATGTCTGGAGAACATCCAGGCCTGGGTGCAGTCGAGGAGTCTGTGCACAGGTGGATGCCCCTCTGGTCATGCTACCCACCTCCTCGGGACCTGAACTGTGGCCAGTGCTGCCCTGCTGCCTCCCATGCCCTGCAACCCGAGCTTGGGCTGGCATGCCACCTCTGGCTGAGTGTTAGCGGAGCAGACTCCGCTGTTGGCTGACTGGAATCTGCACTTGTGGGGTCCTCAGAGCTCCCCTGCTGGCAGACACTTCCCATTTTGTGAGCACATGTGACCACTGGAGTAGGGGACCTAGCCATGGTCTAGGAGTGCCATCCTGCCTGTCACTGGGGGACTTATTATCTCCTGTCTGAGACCCCATCAGTAGGTGGGGGTCCTGCATGTCAGTCACTGGGGGACTTCTTACCTCCTGTCTGAGACCCCATCAGTAGGTGGGGGTCCTGGTGGCTTTCACCTGTAGGAGCTGGTCTTAGGCTGACAGTGTCATTGGCACGGGTCCAGAAACGCACACTTGTGTTGTCATGGTGTGAGACCAGGATGTGTTGGGCCCCAACACTACCCCTCCCCAGCCTCCTCCCATTTAATTTGAGAGCCTTGCCGTCTCGTAGTGGCCACCCAGTGGAGAGGTTGAGTGAGGCTGGGGACCTATCCCCTGTACAGGAGTGAGGCTGCTAGTCTGGTCAGGGAAGCCTTCACCGCTCTTCTTCGGTGAGTCTGTACTCGGCTCCCATGCTGTCTCTTCCTGTTGTGGTGTGTACCACAGGTGTGTTTCCTATCAGGTGTGGTTCATTGAGGTGGGCCTCACCACCCTGTGTTTTCCAGGCGTGATGAGCTGGGGTCAAACGCTCGCTCCCTCAGCTGTGAAGGGGAAAGAGAATCCTTTACTTCCATCCCAGATCGTCTTCAACGTGCCCAGGTTTTATATTCTCCAGTTGTTGTTTTCCCCTTCCCGCCCCACTTTGGCAAAACAGTGAATGAGGAGCTGGCCGAGGTGACCTTCACGTGGTGCAGCCCCGTGCACACGTCCCTACAGAATGTGTGCCCCTTAGAGTGTCCATCCCCCTTGACAAACCCCCCTGGGTGTGGAGCTGCTCTGTGTGGGACACCTCTCAGCCCCAGTGTCTCCCAGTTGCCCTTGTCTTGGGGCCCGGCGCACACACTTGTTTTTTCTTTTTAGACAGGACAGCAGCCGTTGGGCCACTAACCCCATGAGCTGAGGCTTCGAGGAAACCAGGGCAGCTCACTCCTGGGTCTGGGAGCCCAGGAGAGGGGTGCCCATCCTGTCAAGTTGCTCTTTGACTCCATCTGTTGGTTTGCAATAAATCTGTATTTAAGCAGCTCTGGGTTCAAGTGTGACATTTGCTCCCTTGTATGTGGCCCTTTCTCCTGATTTTTCTGAGAGACTGATAGGCCCTGGTCTGTGCAGACACAAAACGGGCATCCCGGGGAAGTGTTACCCCACCTGCCTGCACTCCCTGGGTGCTTGTTTGGACATGAGACTTTGCTCAGCTTCCAAAAATCAAAGACATTTTGGTCAGGAAAGTAGACAGGGATAGACAGGGAGCTATAGATCTGACATCCATTTCAAATATGTTTGAGAATACCTGAATCCCTAAGATCAAGGCCGGGTTCATAGTGCTTCCCCTGGCGGGTGGGGTCCCAGGGCTCAGGTCTCTAGTGTCCTGCCGCTGGCCTTGTGCACACCGCTCCGTCCCCACTGGACTGTGCCCCAGCTTCTTGGAGCCCTTCACCCACTTGCTGAAACCCTCATACCACCTCCTCTCCCCGCTCCCCCAGTCCCCGCAGACCCCGCGACGTCTTGTTCAGCCTCCAAACTGTGCTGCCCCCAGACAGGCCTGCCAGTAAGGCCCCCCGGTGGAGTAGGCTTTCTGTCCTTGTGTGCATGACCTGTACTTTACAAGGCTGAACAGTGGGGTTATCAGTGGGCCAGAAAAGGGAAGCATCTTCTTTTAATAATTTGTCCCTAAAGAGTGCAGGATGGAGAAATAAAAAAGTCAAGTATTTTGTGTGGAAATGTGTCCAAGAGGCATCAGCTTCTGCCTGGAACACTCGGCTCGGGGGAACAGTCCACCCCCACTCGCTCTGTTTCCCTGCTGGTTGGCTCAGAACCAGCCTGTCCCTGGTACAAAAGCCGGCATCTCACAGACGGTGGGTGCACTTCAGGGACCAGAGTCAGAGGAGTGCTGCTACCCCAAGAGCCCAGAAGGGAAAGGGGACCTGCAGTCATGGGCCCCTCAGCCTGTCAGCATAAAACGTGTCATCTGCCCCGCAGACAGGGTCACCTGGTTTTTAGACCCAGCCACTGCCTGGCATTTTCACCTCACAGCACGGGGCTCTTGCCTAGGCGTCAGGTCACGGTGGGCACGGCTGCTCCTGCTCTGCAGCAGGGCCCTGGGGCAGTCTGCTAGCTGCCTGGGTGCAGGCCCTCTGGACATGAACCTCGGAGCAGGGCCAGGACTGCTGCCCTGTCGGAGGAAGCAGCTGGCAGGCTCTTGAGAGGAGCAGACTGGGAGGCAAGTCCTGGACCCTTCAGCTACCCTTATGATCCTGCTTTCTCTGAAGGTTCTAAACCCTGGACCTGGGTGGGAGGGGTCCTGGAGCAATGTTAGTCCCCCACCCCCCAGGTTACTATCAGGCCCTCCAGGATCACATGGCTGGGAACAAGGGAAGCTGGACCCAGCATGGGACCAGTGCCATGAACCTGACTCCTCAAGTGAGGACCCTGGACTGCCCTCCACCTCCCCATGCCCCCCGGTAGCCCCTCCCTGGCTGAGACACTGCTCCAAGACACATCACTGTGTGGTGTCGCTATGAAACATCCCATATCCCAGGGCAGGTTCAGCTTTGCTTCTCAGCTGGGTGCTGTTCAGCCGCTCTGGGTGCCCTCCGTTGAAGAGGCTTGGTGATGTAATCCCCTCCATGGCAGGCCCCATACCCCATCTCAGCATTCCACTTGGCACCACAGTTTCCCAAGCTGGCTGTGAGGCTCTGAGCTGGGACCAGGACCCTGGGCATTACCACCATCAGGATTGGAGTGCACCTCACGTGTTTCCCGTCAGCACCAGTGTGGTCCTTGATGGCCTCTCATCTCCAGGGCGTTCAGGTGCCTTGGTAGATTGGGCCTGGCCAACTTCCAGAGTGGCTGGACCCTTCCAGCCCAGGGGAGCCAGCTTGGGCATCCGAAGATTGTGTGCAATTGGGAAGCCCTTCATGGAGGGAAAGATGGGCCGCACCTGTTTGTAGGTGTCCTATCCAAGATACTTACTCGCTTGCTTCTCCAGGGAGCCCAGCCACAGCAGAGGCCTTGGGCCTGCCATTCAGTGTGGACTCAGGAAGACCTGTCTGAACTGCAGATACGTTTCTCTGAAGTTGAAATGCACGACCTCGAAGGGTTTTGTAAGGCTACAGTGAGATGGCAGTTACTTGTTCCAGTGTGGACCTAGCCTAGGGCACACCCCTTAACTGGTGGTTCTTCCAGGAGGTGGTGGGAAGCCCAGGCCCTCAGCCTGGACAAGGAGCTGCAGATAGGACACTGGGTCTTGAGGTGTGATCACCTGTGTCCCCTAGGCCCCCAAGGATGACTTTCTAAGCTGCCCATTATTGCAGGGCCTAGAGGGACCCAGGGATCCCTGCTTGTGGGCCTTGAATGAGGGCCAGCTGTCAGTCTGGGTGGTCTTGAGCATGGTAGGCAGAAGGTGACAGCTTCCCAGGGAAGGGAGGCAGACTCAGGCTGTTAACCCCCTGCACCATGACGCTGGGTACACAAAACCAGTGCTTGCTGGGTGGGACCAGACCCTGGAGGAAGCGCTCCAGGTAGAGAAAGTTGCAGGTGTAGCACCTGCTGGCTACGGAGCAGCTCTGTAGTCTGTGTGGGACTCTTCTCGGTTCTCAAAAAGCTCACTTCACACCTTTGTGCTGAAATTAACTGAGTGCTACACCCGTGGTGCCCACCTACACGCTCCACTGCACCCCTGCCTTTCCAGACTGACGTGACTTCCAGGTGGCTCCGGCCCTCAGCCCAGGCAGCCAGCCAGGCTCTCCGGGCCTCACTCCAGAAAGGTCAGTACAAATGGCAGTGTGGCCAAGGACTTCTGCAATCAGATGCCTGGGATGGGGAGAAGGAGTGGTCAGGCTGACAGGTGGCCACTAGAAGGTGCCTCTGACTAGCGGGAAGTTAAGATTGTCGCTAAGGAAACATTACAGTCCAGCCAACTCTTCCTGCTGCAGATGAGATTGGGTGAGACCCCAGGTCACACAGCAAGGGCAGCAGGCAAGGTGAGATCTGGACAGGGTCTCCTAGAGTGGTCCCATGCTTTCTCCCATGCTTGGCTATGCTCTGAGTACCCATAGGAACGGGGGGCATCCCCAACTGCCCACTGGTACAGCCACCCAGGCCACCGCAGGAAGGGTTTCAGGTACCAGATGGCCTTAAGCAGGCAGCTGGCAAATGCCTGAGTTTGGTGGAACCAAATTAACTCACATAAAAACCACTTGCATTGATTCCAACTTAGGCTACCCTGTATGT